AGAAATTTGTCTAAGACTCATTTATGCCTAAAAACATTATCTTGAATATACATAGACAATGATGATAACATTTATTGTGTGCTTACTACATTCTGAATGCTTAACAATGTTAATTAGTTAAATCTCAATCTTTGCCATAAACTCTGTGGCAAGTACTATTTTCTTTTTAGAGGAACTGAAACTAAGAAATTGAAATATTAGGTTACTTACTCAGTGTCATACAGCAAAATGCCCGAGAGAACTGGAATTTAAATCTGTGAATTTATATAGCATTCATGTTCTTGTATTAGGGAAATTTTTTTTAAGGAATATACTTTTAATGCAACATTTGGTAACTGTTAACTATTCATATAACATCTGAGAAATGCCTGTATTTTGAGATCAAAGTCTAAAATAATTACAGTTCAGTATTTGCAAAGTTAACTTAATATAAATGTAATTATTTTGTATGTTTGGAGTCAGCAAGGAAAATGAGAAAATTTTCATTGTATCTTCTCTGCAGAAAAATTTTGCAGTTAATGTGACTTTGGAATGGGAAAAACCTTGAAGTTGAAATTCTAGACTGTAATTAATAACCCTTAAAATAATGTCCATGATAATTTTGCTTGAAGTTTCTGTTTAACTGAAAGGTAATTTTTCTAAATAATTTTATTCAATTTCATAATTTAAATAAAAAGAGTAAGTAGGTGAAGAAATATGTCATAAGTTATTGACTTAAATTGAGAGAATGTATGATTACAGTGTAGAAACTGACAAAGGGGTAGATTATGAAGCTGTTTGATCTCTAGCAGATAGGCCAGGCTTGTGGTTTAATGCCTACCAGCCAAAGGCCACACTATAAACATAATTGCTGTTGAATAAGTTGAATTTACTATTTGTTGCAGGGAGGGAAGAATGCTCACTACAGGGAAACTATAATGTACATCATTGAGGATGTTAGAACAAAACATAGTATAGGATTTGTTTATTGTATGGTATAGATTGGGTTATTTGGGGGAGAATTTAAGGAAGTGGACCCTCAGTTTGGATTGGGTGATTAGGAAGTACATATCTTAATACATTTTATCTGTATAGGGAAGTCAGATAGTGGCAAGGCAAAGCTGTGATTGATAAAGGAATAGCTGTCTTTCTTTGAGGAATGTGGGAATGGTTGATATTTTATGGGTTGCACAGTTGAATGAGTTGCATTCTGCTGTGACTGCAACAGATAACTGCACAATTATCTGAGTTGAATGTGACATGGTTATATGTCCTTTAGCAGTGTGGCATAGCTACAAGCATCAGATCAGATTTTAAAGATACTGAGGCCTACCTAGGAGCATCCTATCAGAAGCTGCCTCCCCCAAACCAGAACAGTTACATCCTGCTGTCATTTCAACGGGTAATGGTTATAGGAAGTGGATAGCAGGGTAAAAGCAGTATTTTTACCTTCTATACATCTTAGTTCTTAAAAGACATTTTACTCCACTGTTAACTGATATGGCATTTTCGTTTTCCAGGAGCACCAGATCTTTGTCTTCTTTTACTTGCTTCATTGCACCGGCCATGTGATAACATAGAAACGGTGCTGCAGAACACCTTGTCTTGGCTGTTAACGACAGTTGTAGTTTTCTGTGTAAATATGCTGTATTAAAGTTTCTGTGCTTAGTTTCTTGGAAAATTTAAATATGAGTCAATTTTGAATTTTTTCATATGGGTATTCTATATCTATTGAGAGGATTCTTTATTTTCTTCCATTCTGTTTAGTGGTCAGTTAAATGTACACACATCACAAAAATGTATAAACAACAAATTAACTGTCTCACAATTCTGAAGGCCAGAAGTCTAAAATTAAGATATTATCAGGGCCACGTTCTTTCTGAAGATATAAAGAAAAATTTGTTCTAGGTCTCTTTCCTAGCTTCTAGTATTTCTTGGCATGTGGCAGTGTAACTCCAGCCTCCACATGGTATTCTCCTTACGTGCATGCCTGTGTCCAAATTTTTCCCTTAATTTTCTCCTACATACCTACCTACCTATCCTAATGAATCCACTTGATTGATTGAAACAGGGTCTTTATGTAGTTCATGCTGGACTTGAACTTATTATGTAGCCCAGGTATCTTTCAACTCATGATCCTCCTGCCTCAGACTCACCAGTGCTGGGATTACAGAAATGCATCACCCTGCTGAGCTAAGTTCTCCCTTTTTTAAAAGGATACCAGCTGGGTGCAGTTGCAAGTGCTTGCAATCCTACCATTTGGGAAGCTGAGGCAGGGGGATTGTGAGTTCAAACCAGTCTGGGTTTCACAGTGAGTTTGAGGCCAACCTGGGCGAGTGAGACCCCATCTCAAAAAATTAAACCAAACCAAACCAAAACATCCCGCCCCCCATCACACACACCATCATGTTGGATTAGAGCCCACCTGATACTTTTATTTTAATTACATCTATTGTGATCAGGTCACATTCTGAGGTACTGGAATTTAGGACTTTCTTTCAGGGGTAAGTGGTTGCACTGTTCAACCAGTAATCTAGTACCAAGCATTCATTTAGATTAGGCAGACAGAATTCATCAGTTGGTTACCTCAGTGGGCATGAAGTAAAGCGCAAATGTGTCTTGACTTGCTTACAATCAATATTACTTAATTTCTGGATATGAAAGGCAACCTGCATTTTTAAAAATGCATTTCAATTGATTATAAGGTATTAACTCTTAAATGAACACATTGCTAACTAACTCAGATGAAAGAAGATACCACAGTACACTTATTTCAATAGGATAATGGAATTATGAGGCATCAAAACATGTGTGACACAAGAAGCTCTATAGCTTTGTGTTTTATGCATTACAAAAGAGGAAAGATTGAAAACTACTGGTTGAAGCTTGAACCTCAAAGAGAAAGATGATAAATCAGACTCATTCAAGAAAGTGAGAGAAAACAAATAATATTACAGAAACCAGTGAAACTAGAAAACAGTGTGAAACAGAAACATCAGCCAGGGTAAAAGTTGATTTTTCTTTTTTTTTTTTTTTTTTTTTTTTTTTTTTTCTCCGGTACTGGGAACCGAACTCACTACCTTGCGCTTGCCAGGCAGGCGCTTTTGCCGCTGAGCTAAATCCCCAGCCCCAAGTTCATTTTTCTTTGAGACAGGATCTCACTCTATAATTGAGGCTGCCCTAAAACTCACTATATAATCCAGGCTGGCCCCAAACTCGTGGTGGTCCCCCTACCTCAGCCTCCTTGAGTGTGCCACCATGCCTGGCAAAAATTCATTCTTTGAACAATAGAATTATTGAAGTGTCTAGCAAAATTTACTGTGATAACACATCAGATATGTGTATTTTTTTTAACCTTTTAAAAACACAGTCTTGCTGTGGCATTCAGGCTGACCTTAAATATATTATGTAGCCCAGGCTGGCCTTGAACTTGTGGTAATCCTTCTGCCTCAGCCTCCTGAGTGCTGGGATTATAGGAGTGCACTTAGCAGCCATCTCTTATTTCATCCCAAATCTTCTAACATTAAGTAATCACTAATTTACTTTCTATTTTTCTAGATTAGTCTGTTCTGGACATATCATACAAATGATACCATTCAGTGTGTGGTCTTTATTACTGGCTTCATCCGTCATATTTTCAAGGTTCATTTATGTTGTATCATATGTCAGTACTCTATTCCTTTTTATGGCTGCATAATATTCTAGTGTATGGATATACCATATTTTATTAGTCTGTTCATTGGTTATTGGATGTTTTGATTATTTTCAATTTTGGCTACCATGTATGAATGATGTTACAATGAGCATTTGTGGACATACTTTTGTATGGACGTATTTGTTTTGTTTTGGGTGGATTTCCAGAAGTGGAATTGCTGAGTCATACGGCAACTCTGTGTTTAATCTATTGAGAAACTGCCTGTTTTCCAAAGCAGCTTGCACCATTTTACAGAACACCAGCATGGTATGAAGATCCAGTTGCTCTACATCCTTGCTAGAACTTACTATTCTTTTTGATTATTACCTGTAATGTTATGTGTGAAGTGTTTCCTCATTGTGGTTTTAATTTTCATTTTCCTAATGATACGATGTTGAGCATCTCTTTATTTGCCGCCTTTGTAGAAATGTCTATTCAAGTCCTTTACCCAGTTTTAGATTTGGGTTACAGTACTTGGTTTTTAAAAAGTTGAGTTGTAAGCTTATTTTCTGTTTGTATGTATGTATGTATAAACAGTTTTCAAATATATTTATATCATTCTAAATACAAGTCTCTTATCAGATATGTAACACACAAATATTTTCCCCCATTGTGTGAGTTGTCTTCCTTTTCTTTTTAAAACGAAGTTTGCTTATTGTGTGTGTATATGTGTATGTGCGTGTGTATATGTGTATGTGCGTGTGTGTATGTATATGTATCAGGTGGGGGTTCCTGGAGCTTGCATCCAGGGCCTTGCACAAGGCACTGAACTACTTCCTCAGCCCTTTATTTATTAATTTTGAGAGAGAATCTCCCTAAATTGTCCAGGGTGACCTTCAACTTGCCATCTTTGCTGCTGGGCTGGATTAAAATTTTAATTCACAGGTACTGTTTTCATTCTCTTAGTGATAATCTCTTGTTAAAGTCGTGTGAATATATTAGGTATGGCTATAAATGTAATCTTCACTTTAATGTACCTTGATTCTTCCTTCTGTGCTTCTTTTCTAGTCCCTTACTGTTTTAATTCTTACACTTTTATTTTTCTTATTTTCATTTACTCCTGTGCTCCTTTTCTGCTTTGGACCCCTGAATGCTCTGAGAATGAAAGGTGGTCTTTTTTTGGGCTGGATTTTCATAATAATTGATCTAATATGGACTGTTTCCATTATCATGATATTAGGTGAATAATTAAATACACAAGGATTATCAAGTTCTTTTATGTCATTATTTCAGAATTATATAGCGTGTACTGTTTGCTGCTCTTGACGAGGAAGTCTATAATTAGGTGACTTCTGTTTTAATTATTAAATTCTTTTTTTTTTAAAAGGTTCAATATGGACAGTATAGAAGAACCTCAGAAAAAAGTCTTTAAGGCTCGAAAAACAATGAGAGTGAGTGATCGGCAGCAGCTTGAAGCAGTATACAAAGTCAAAGAAGAACTATTGAAAACTGATGTCAAGCTTTTAAATGGCAGCCATGAAAATGGAGATTTGGACCCAACCTCTCCTTTGGAAAATATAGATTATATTAAAGATAAGGAAAAGGTAAATGGCATTGAAGATACTGGTTTTGGTTCTGAAGAAAGTAAAACAGAATGGAAAGAAAAACCCTGTATTCCACACGTTAATGTAAAAAACAAGCCAGATGATGATTTAAATGAACCTTTGTCTCCTAATAAAATAACTCCTGAACCAGCCTCTAAACTAACCACTGAGCCAGCTTCTGGTGATCTCGCCTCTAGTGAGCTGGCCACTGGAGATTCAGCCTCTGGTGATTCTACTTCTGGTGATCTCACCACCAGTGATGCATCCTCTAGTGACCCTGCTTCTGGAGAACTTAGCTCTAGTGATCCTGCCACTGGTGATTCTGCCTCTGGTGAACTGCTTTCTGGTGAACCTGTTTCTGATGAACCAGTTCCTAGTGAAAGAGCCTCTGGTGAACCAGCTTCTGGTAATTGTGCCTCTGATAATCTATCCTCTGGTGATCCAGCTTCTGGTGATCCACCCTCTGATGGTCCTTCCTGTAGTGAATTGGCCTCTGATGATCTGGCCTCTGGTGAACTGGCCCCTGGTGATCTGGCCTCTGGTGAACTGGCCCCTGGTGATCTGGCCTCTGGTGAACTGGCCTCTGGTGAACCGGCCTCTGGTGAATTGGCCTCTAGTGAGCCGGCCTCTGGTGAATTGGCCTCTAGTGAACTGACTTCTGAATCAGCCTTTGATCCCACCTTCGAACCAAGTTCTTCACCAGTTTGTGAACCAGTTGTTGAAACTGAGAGTACAGAACAAAGTAGCAGTAAAGATAATGAATTTCTTGAAAAAAATGAGGATGATGAAAATTCAGGCCAAATTCAGAATAAGGACTCAGTTGATGAGAAAAAGAAAGCTGATAGTAATGTTGATAGTAATGAAGAAACTCTAGAAACAGGTGATACAATGATTTGTTCAGATCTGACACCTGAAAATGGGAAGAAGGGTGAAGATCCTATCACAGAGCTTGCTCTTGGAGAAGAGGCTATATCTAGCAGTATGGAAATTGACCCAGGTGAAAAGAATGAAGATGAAAATTCTTCAGACCTTGTGGAGACCATTAGTGAGAATGTTATACAAAGTGACAAAAGTGAGACTATCTTAGAAAATACTGATTCTATGGAGACCGATGAAATTATTCCCATTTTGGAAAAACTTGCACCTACTGAGGATGAACTTACTTGCTTTTCTAAAGCATCTCTCCTTCCAATGGATGAGACAAATCCAGATTTGGAAGAGAAAATGGAAGTTTCTTTTGGTTCACCATCCAAACAGGAAAGTAGTGAGAGTTTGCCTAAAGAAGCCTTTTTGGTCCTTTCTGATGAAGAGGATATTTCTTGTGAGAAAGATGAGTCTGAAGTTATATCACAAAATGAAACATGCTCTCCAGGTTAGTAAGTTATTTAAATTATAAATAATTTTTAAAATCAGCTTTGATTAAATGTTTTATAAATACCTTCTGATGAAGTTTTAGTTTTTTTACTTGCAGAAGGAGTTGAGAATGTTGTGACTGTACAGAAGGATGTCTTAACTTTGTTGATTCTTAACTTCATAGTTAGAATTCAGTTACAAAATACCCTCTTTGTGAGCAACATTTTGCTAAGTGCTAAGAAGGGAGATAAGTAGAAAATACAGCTCTTGTGCAGAAAGGGCTTTTTGTGTAGGAACAGATAAGACAGACTTCTGTAACACTGTGATAACAATGTAAATCAATACATAATTGATTGAAATTCCAGCAGTTGTTCTTTCTTGCCATCATGTTGCAAGCAGAATTATTTTTCAAATAATCTTTACAATGAAACCTCATTTTTAAAATTTTTGGGGGGTTTGGGGAGTAACATTACCATTGTTCCACAAGCCGGAAAGATTTTATCCATTTGTTTCTTCTGTCCTCTTGATTCTGTCCAGTCTACTCTCTTATTCTTATCTCTTAGATGACCTCCCTCTTTTTCATGAGGTTCATATTACTTTTACGTTAATTCTAAACTCCTTATATAAACATAAACTTCATGATTTTATCAGCATCTGCATGTCTGAACTCTTACATTGTTTTGTAGAGAAAAAAGAATGATAAACATTCTTATTCCTTTTTTGGCCAAATCAAAGCATAATTACTATAAGACACTTCTTTAGTCCTCTTCAGATTAGCACGGATACCTTTCTAATCCTACTTTATGATGTTCTTTTAGACTTAGAATCAGTAAGAGGAGGAGGGAATTGCTCCTATGAGCATCATGTCAACTAGAAATAAGGAGGCAAGCCTAATACAGAGGAAAATTTTTTCCCAGTATATCCTGTTAGCTTTTAGAGGTAAAGATTTTTTTTCTTACTAAGAGATAGCTTTTGATTTCTAAAGAACATTTTTCAAGCCTGTTGAGAGACAGACTGGGCCCTTTTAGTTTTAGGGATTTTATGTAAGTAAGAACTAAATCAGACTTTTTTTTTTGAGACTGAGTCTCACTATGTGGGTCAGTTAGACTTGAACTCATTGTGTAGCCCAGGCTGACCTTGAACTCATGGCAGTCTTCTTGCCTCAGCTACTCCTGTGCTGGAATTACAAGGGTATGCCATGACACCTAGCTAAATCACAGGCTATTAAATAGAAGGCCATGAATACAGTGGAGTGGTATTTGTATTCTGGGAACATAGAGGAGGGTAACTTTATAAGAGCACGAAGTATATTCAGGAATCCTTTCCTTTCTGTATTTGTACATCGTAGGGTTTTAATGAGTTTTATTCCCTGTATTGGCAGTGCCATCTTAGCTAGTCAGGTCGGAAACTTTGGAGCCATTCTTTTCTATTAACATCTCATATTCAGTCCATTAGGAAATATTGTTGGCACTACCTTCAGAATAGATGTAGAATCCAGTACTTAACTGCTCTTACCACCGTTGTCAGGATAAAGTGATGACTGGTACACAGTAAGTGCTCAGTAGACATTTGTAGAGTAAACGCCAAATTGATACTGTAAGAAAAGCACATCATATCATGAAGGAAGGACTGGTGTTAAAATACTGAAGTATTATGAGATAAGTAGGGACCTATTGAAGGATTTTAAGTGAGAATGATAGGAAATTTGTATTTTGGAAAGGTAACAGGGAACAGTATTCAAGATGAATTTCGTTCATTTATCCAGTAGGTATTTATGCAGAATGCGGCAGTGGGGCAGGTCCTTAAAAAAGCATTATGGAAGTCTGTATAAAAAAAAAATTATCATAGCAAATTGCAGCTTGTGATTTTAATGAGTTTGCACATTTTATCTTTGTCAGAATTTTGATACTGGGGGCCATATCTATATCTATATATCTATATCTATGTATATAGCTGCATATCTTGTGGTTGCGTATTTAATATTATCTGTAAAATATAGTAAAACATTTTATATTTTGTGCGTGATTGAAGCCACCAAGGAGCTAGTTGCAGATATATATCAGGGGAAAAAAATAGAAATTTTTAAGTGATTTGTCGTACCCCTTATCCATCATGTATTGATTAAGTTAGATAAGGCGATGGGTTGATTGACCAGAAGGCCATTTGTAGTACCTCAGTGATTTTATTTGTTGTAGCATAATATAGCCCTATAATTTTTAAACAGAATGTTTGGTAACACTCTTTTTCATAGTTTATATGCCACTTACAAACATTGCTTAACCTTCCTGAACATTATTTTCCTTATCTATATGTTAGCAAAAATATTTAAAATACAGGATCACAATCTTACTGAGGCTGTGTGGTAATATATGTCAAATACCAAACTCACTTGTTGACACTATTACCAAAATAGGTACTATTTTTAAGTAAAATAGTTACTGCATTTAGGATAACCTCTCCATACCTTATGTGTTACCCTATAACTATTAAAATAATTTCATTCCACCTTCTAGACAAAATACTAGTTTTGAATTTACTAGTAGTTTATAATATTTTGGTAATTGTCATAGCTACTTATATTAGTTTTAATAATTGAATGTAAAAGGGTCTGTGCTTTATAATGTTTTTATATTTTATTAATCTTGTTAATGATAGAAACTTGATAATAAGATTGCTTGTTTTAAAATCTGTAATATTAGGCAGGGATGGTGGTGCATGACTATTATCCCAGCACTTGAGAGGCTGAGGCAGGAGGATCACTGTGAGTTCAAGGCCAGCTTGAAATATGTAGTGAAACCCTGTCTCAAAAAAAAAAACAAAAAAACAAAAAAACAAAACTGTAATATCATTCCATATGGAGTTTACTGTAAGTTGCAGAACAGTTGAATGTAGACCTGGCCATTTAATTCAGTCAAATCAGTTGATGTTTCTGTGCTCTTCACAAAATTTTACAATTTGGGGACCCTGGCTTTATTAAAGGTTAACATTTGATAATTACACCAAAAACTAAATTAATGAACTGTTGTGAATTCTAGTAGAAAAAAATTTCCTTTTCTATTTTTATTCTAGCAGAAGTAGAGAAGAATGAAAAGGACAGCAGACCCGAGGAAGAAGAGCAAATGATAGATGAAGAAGATGAAAGACCTTCTGAGAAAAGTATGCATGTAAAACAAACTTGAAGTAGTTAAAAAATAACCTATTGTTTCTAGTTTTAAGGTCGTTGAAAACTTTAAAAATTGAAACTTTAAAAATTGAAAAACTTTAAAAAGATCATGAAAACTTTAAAAAAAGCACCTGGCTAATCATTGTGGTTTTTGTTTTCAGATGAATTTCCTGGAAGGAAACGTTCTAAATCAGAAGACATGGACAATGTAGAGTCCAAACGTCGTCGTCGCTATATTGAAGAGGAGTATGAGGCAGAATTTCAAGTAAAGATTACAGCCAAAGGAGACATTAATCAGAAGCTTCAAAAGGTGCTGGAAATAATTAAAAGCTATATTAAATAAAAAGTACCAGTGTCTTTATTCTTCTAAATTTTTTTTTTATAGTATCCTCTGTTTTACTGAAATATTAAGTTTACCACTGAAAGAGAACTTGAAGAATGTAGCTGAGCTTAAGAAATCTGTGGTTATCATTGATAATTGAACTTTAAAATTCCTTCTACACTGTTTTTGGCCACATGATTTATTTTGGAGGGAGTAATTGATTTTCAAAATGAAGGGGAAACAATGACACATCTTTATTTTCTTTTGTAACAAAATTAAACTGCTTGAACTTTTTCTTTTTTCTTCCCATACTGAACTTCATTTTATAGTGAAAAACATCAGTGTTTTATACGTTAATATTTTAATCTTCATAATAAGCTCATTTCATGGTACAAGTCTGGTTCTAAAATAATTATGTACTTCAGAGTTAGTATTGAAAAGATAGGACCAGGGCTTTAGAAGGGGTAGCAACAGGGAACATATAAAGATTTTGGACACCTCTTCCTATGTCTTTTAGGATAGAGATACAAAAAATGACAATATTCAGGATTTTACACTGTGCACACACATCTTTATAGCAAGTGCCTTTTGTAGGGAGGCATGTGAAACTTGGTGTTTCAAAGTTATGCATGGTTAATGGTGAAATTGTATTATGAAGGTTCTTTTTTGTGTGATACTAGGGACTGAACCCACCGTCTTTGCACTGAGCTACATCCCCAAACCTTTTAAAATTTTTTATTTTAAGATGGGGTCTGACTAAATTGCTCTTTCTCGGGCTGAGCTGGAATTTAGGATCCTCTTGTCTCAGCCTCCCAGAGTGCAGGCATTATAAGTGTACACCAGCATGCCCAGATTATTATCAAGGTTCTTCCATTATGATACAGTACAAATATCTACACTTTTTAGAAATAGGAAGAATGAAGCAATAAAAAAGTTCCCCACCCCTGCACGTTTTATTTTGTTTGGTGTATAGAGATAATATTGCATCTTTAGTCTTAGGCTTGTATAGATATATAAAAGAATTTTGAAAACTTTTATGTGCACTGTGAGTTTTCTTTAGATCATTGTTAATTCAGATAATGGTTCTTGGATATATGGCAGTGTCCAGTTTTTGTGAGTCCATAATGAGATGGCAGTTTTGTATACTTAGACATGTCTTATAGTGTGTGGTAATTAGTAACATTCTTAGTGCATCTGATAAAATATCAGTCTATAGCATTAGAAAATTGAAAAACTGGTTCTATAATCAGTTTCCTTTAAGTGATTTGAATGTGGTAAGACAGTGTTGGAAGAAAATGCTAAAACTTGAAATTCTTTTCAAATTTTCACCCTTTGGAAATTTTGTTTTTAGTATATACTACCCACTTGAGGTAGATATATGGATTTTATTTATTAAATTAGTTAGGCATGTTTTATTTGTTAAATTAGTTAATGCATTGCTCTCTTAATAGTATTAATAGTGTTTTTTTCTTCCTGAATTGCCCTTGCCTAACCAAGGGATTTGTGTTTCTTTAGGTTATGCAGTGGTTGCTGGAAGAAAAATTGTGTGCTCTACAGTGTGCTGTCTTTGATAAGACTTTGGCAGAATTGAAAACACGAGTGGAAAAGATTGAATGTAACAAGAGGCACAAGACAGTTCTTACTGAACTACAGGTTTGTATGCTGACTTTGATCATATAACTATGTATCATTTTTATAACTTATTTTCTGGGATTTTATTTGAAATTAATTATAATGTTCATTTAAATTCTAAGTATTGAAAGTAAAAGAAATATATATTGTTTCCTAGGGCTGCTGTAGAAATAGTACCAGGAGTAGGGTGGTTTCATCAACAGAAAGGTATCATCTCTTAGTTTCCGAGGATCAAAGTGTAAGAAAAAGGAGTTAGGATGATTGGTTCTTTTAAGGGCTGATGCTAATGGGAGGAGTCTGTTCCATGTTTCTCTTGTAGCTTTTGTTGGTTTGTTGACATTTTCAGTGTTCTTTGCCTTATAGGAGCATTACCCCAATCTCTTACATTACTTTCATGGGGGATTGTTTCTATATGCGTGTTTGTGTTCAGATTTCCCTCTTTTTAAGGATTCCATTTGTATCAGATGAAGGATCCACCTCACGTGGATTACTTCTTCTTAACTAGGTACCTCTATAATGATGTTGAGGTACTGGTTTTTCTTAGTTCCTTTTATGAACTTTAAATGATGTAGTTCAACCCATAATAGAGATCAGAAACTGTCTAACTTTGTGCTTCTTAATTTTTTGGGGGGACACCAATGAAAGCCTAGCATCTCACATGCTGTAATTAGTACTAAATAATATTTTTGAGGGATTCTTTTTATATTAACCTGCTTATTACAAGGCATTTTTAAGAATGTTACCTTACTAACCTGTATTTGTTAATAACTGCTTTTCATTTTTATTAAACATAGGTATATATTAATTTACAGTACCATGGCTTCTGGCCTGCCAAAATGAGCACATACATTCCAAAGCTAAGAAAGTGAAAATTTTAATCAGTTCAGTTCATTCATTCTGTCATAAGTAAATAAAACTTCCTATTATCCTGTTTTAAATATGAACATAGTTCCAAGAATTTTGAGTTGTAAACCACTTGCAGGACCTACGTTTTACAAAGGAGGGAGAAGTGTTCCTTTAAAGTTAAATCACTTTTTCACAATTAAAAACCAAATTGCAAGCAAATCTGAGTAGCATCTACATCTAGAATGTCTTGCAGGGTAAATGTTATTTTCTCTTTTCTCTTTTACTTTATTTGATGTGAAACTTTTTAGTAATAATGTTTATGTAGTATAATTTTGTAATAGGTCATTTAGGACAACGCTAATTTTGGTGCTCAACTTACACAGGTCTTTCTGTAGTGATACTGTTATCTAATAAGTTTTCATTTTACTACTACTGCTGAAAATTTTAAATTAAAACTGAAGATGAGTGAAGATTGAACAGAATGGTTATTTTTCAGTGGTCTCCTTGGTGTAGTTAGTGTGTGTGTGTGTGTGTGTGTGTGTGTGTGTGTGTGTGCGTGTGTGTGTGTACGTACACACATGCTTTGAGAAAGAGGCTCACTTTATCAGACAAGATCGGGCATGTTGAGGGTGGTATGGCCGTAGACGGTTCACTTTATCATTCAGGCTCTCCTTGAACTGACTGTGTAACCCATGCTGGCCTTGAGCTTGTGGTCAGCCTCCTGCGTCAGCATCCTGAGTGCTCAGATATAAGCATGCACCACCACGCCCAGCTTTATTATTTTGTGTTTTTAAAGCCCAGAGTTGTTGATTCTATTCTTCATTTAAGGTGCAAGTCCAGATCTCTTAACATTTAATGTTTATTTGTGCTTAGGTGATTCTTTGTAGCCTCACACTAAATCTTTCCAGTGCTAAACCAGTGATCTCTACAAATGAATAACTCACTGATCTTGTTACTGACAGCTTTTGAATTTTTGGGAGAATTTTAGAAGGAGTGTCTTCCCATTGTTCTTGTTGACAGTTCTTGAGTTCTTGGAAACTAATTCCTCTCAGTCATTTTACATATACACTGAGTTGCCAGATTACTTTTTTATTTTCTGAGAGATCTGTTGTTTGATTACTCTTGTTACTGGACTCAGGTTCATCTGCCTGTTGCTTGAAAGCCAATATTAGAAAGACAAGAGTTGATGGAAAGGAATTAGGTGGGTTTTGTTTTGTTTTGTTCTTTAGTTTTCTCTTTTTATTTTGAGACATGGCCTTGCTAAGTTGCCTACTCTGGGCTTGAACTTGAGTTCTTCCTGTGTTAGCCTCCCAGAGTCCCAGGGCTTATAAGCATGTATCACTATGCCATATTGGAAATTATTTTATTCAGGGGCTGGCCCTGACATAATAGAGGGGCAGTCATCTTCAGAGCTCCATTTTGGAGAACTCAGGTACAGAGGACTCCTTTAGGGAGGGAAAGGAATGGGGACAGTGGGCAGGAAGACTGATGCTTAATTGTACAATGAAGCTCTCCATAACCATTTTGTAACTTGGAATTTTCCTTTTCTGTTTTTCTGCTGGAATATCCTTGCTATCATAATCAACCCTAGTTTCCTAAGTTAGTCCCTGTGTGTGTATATGTGTGTGTGTGTGGTTTTTGAATAAATGTGTTTCCCAGCAAATTAAACATCATTCCACTTTTAATTAAAGAACAAGATTAGCAAGTTCTTGACCCCACATTTTGATGTTATCTGAAGACCATCAGATGGTCTGGGTTCTGTAAATCTAGAGAAAAGTTACTGATTAGTAAGTTTTTTGAGTCATGTCTTTTTTAGTTCCTTTTCCCAGGAGTAGCTAACCTTGCAGTCAATCATTAACATACAAAAGGTATCTTTCCCCTGAGCACAAGGCAAGGTGACTAAAAGCAATTTTAACCAGTTAGCTTTAGTCCGAAGTCTCATCTACAAACAAGGTAATGGGAAACTAATAATATATTGCTCTGTTGTATGACCTCCCAAATTAGTAATTTTAAAAGTTAATTAAGAGCAAAAGAAGCTTGAGGATTTATGTAGGTTTTCCCTTAGTTACACTTTCCATTAGGTCATCAATATTGAGTTCCATGGTAATAGTACCAGCGTTTTACATGACCACTCTGCACTAGTTTTTATGTTCTTCCAAAATGTTATACTAATATTTCTGAAATACTGCTGTTTGGTTAAATATTACCAAGTCCAACTTAGTTGCCATCTTTCTCTGCTTTCCTAATATTTTGAGTTTTTGCAGAAATAAAATTCAAATAACAAAAACTTTCAAAGTGTACAGTTTTTCAGCATTCATTATATTCGTAATTTGTGCAATCATCATCTCCATTCAGTTCCAAAATTTTTGGTCAGCTCAAAATGAAACATTGTGCCCATTAAACAGGAACTTCTCATTTCCTGCTTTGTTTAGCCCTTGGCAGCCAATAATCTTTCTGTCTTTCTTGA